CAGGTAGCTCACTAAAATCAGATATTTCACCAAAAGCTTATGGTTCACCAAGGAAAAGAAAATGTCTAGAAATAAGAAGACGTTATGATTCTTCTTCTTCAACAGATGAAGATAAAGATGAAAAGAAAGGAATATAAAAAAAAAAAAGACAATATAAATCGTATTATTGTCTAGGAGACTTAAATGTCTTCTATGTAAATTATACACTTAAAGCGTTAAAGTATTATGTAAATTATATTATATATTGTATATATATTTTTATATAAATTATTGTTTATATAAATGTATTTAATATTATTACTAATTATATAGTATAATTTATACATTTATAATAACTACATTATAATTTATAATAATAATGTAATAACTATAATATATTATTAAATAATAATATATTTTGATTAAATAATTAATGTACGATCATCTGCAAATATAAAAACTGTCTTATATTAAAAAAGACAAATTATAAAAACAACTATAAAGGACATATATATATATATGGTGGCTTGTATACATATGAAAATATAATATAAATTATATAAAACTTAACGAACAAAAAAATTATATTAGATAAATATAAATTAAATATGGATAAATAAGACACATCATAATTTTGAAATATAATATGATATCAATGATTAACAACTTGCATGTATTAAATATAACTCTGTATTTGTTCCATTTCATATTTTAACAATGGAAAAAAACTTTTGTGCTATTATTAAGAAAATTCGACCAACATTTTTTACTTCTTTGATTTTTAAATTTTCTCGTTGGTCTTGCTCTTATATTATTATAATAATTCGTTATTGTAATAAATACGTTTATTACTTGTGTGTACTTATAATACTATTTTAAATAAAATTTTTATTTGAATTTTTTAATTATCGTCTCTCTTCCTGAGTTACTATCTCCTTTCATACAATTTATGTTAATTACATAAAATTTTAACTTATATATAAAATATTATTCTATATATTAATTAAATATATTAAATGTATGTATTATATTAATTTAATTGGAAAAAAGCCGATAATTATATGAATTTATTTATGTTGAATATAAACTACGCGAAACTTTAAATATCGTAATAATATTTTAATTTTTTCTTTCTATACTTTAATTTAATAATAAAAACAAATGTTTATTATTATCGTTAACAATGTCACAAATAATGTTTTTAATTACAAATTTCGATGTATTTCAAATAATCGATATTAAACTCGAGACTCGAGATATCAATTAAATGTAAAAAACTAATTCATACTTTTCTCAAGTAATTTTTTAAGGAGAATATGTGTTTTGTTATTTTTCAGAACAAATGTTCTCAAATAAATTAAATAAACATGATTTAATTTATTATTAACGAATTAATATACTATAATTTATAATATGACCTTATACCTAAATGATGTTTGTAAATATATCGTAGTTCGAGATTCGATATTTGAGAGTCGAGATATTTAAAAATTTTTTTCAATTCGAGTTTCATATTACTTTCAATTTAATCTCAACAGAACAATCAATCTTTGTTCGATCTTGTCAGTTGGTGCGCTTATTTGAAAGACAAGCATTACTTACAATGTGCTAATTATATTTTATTCAAATTCAATTTAAAAAAAAGCATTTTAAAATACGTGTTTCATCTTACGATATCTGATCATATATGTAGAATTTTTTAATTTTTGTTTACTTTTCTCATTTTTCGTACTCTTTTAAATAAAACAATAACAAACAAAAAACACGTAACAAATTTGAGAATGTTATCTTTCATAAAACTGCAATTAATGTTGTGACGAAAAGTAATTATAATAATTATTATTCTGTAAAGTGTTTTTAATTAATATTATTTAAATAACTTTTATTATTTTAGGTTTATTTCATGTGATATATAGATCCCCGAAAARTAAATATATTTATGTATATATAAATTGAAAGTCTACATATGTATGTATATTGAATCAAATACATATATTTATTACAAAATGTTTATTGTTCTCTTTAAAGTTTAAAAAAAAAAAGAGTCTAATAAGCAAAAATATATATAAATATATTATAATTGCATACCATTTTTAACCAAGGTAATTTTATAAAATTATCTACGATATTTCTTTTTTTATAATTTCATTAATCCTTCATTGTATTTTAAACATATTAACTTATTTTTTAGATGAGCGACGAAGAACTTGTTCAGTGTCCTATTAATCCCAATCACCAGGTTCCTAGATCTCAAATAGACGAGCACGTAAAAACATGTAAATTTTTGATTGATCCTAATCAAGAAACTCAAATTACATTTTCATCCTACGACGAGGTAATATATTAGATTTGTTTGTTAAGATTACGTTCTCAACAAGTGATATAAGACAAATATTAATTGATATTGATTTAAAACACAAGCCCAGACCCTCAA